TTGTAGATGGAAGACTAAAGGCAAATCTTTTTTGGTCAGCAGGATGAAGGGGAATTGTAAAAAAGCAATCTTTAAGGTCAATAATGATTTTAAAATATTTTTGAGGAATCGCAACCGGTGAAGGTAATCCTGGTTGTAAGGCACCCATAAGGATCATAGTGATATTTACTGCTCTTAAATCTTGTAAATGCAAAGCATGCCTACAAGACCAAAAACCTCATCACCTGGGTACATGGTAGATAAGTAAATAATGGTCTGCACCCCAGACGCAGCAAATCAGAAACTTGGAGGGCAGAGCTCTGCAAGCTGTGATTGAACAAGCCTCCCAAGTGAGTTTCATGCACACTGAAGGCTGAAACTCAATGAGAACCATTGTTTTAACCAATTAAAATACAATCTTCAGGTGGTTCATATACACTGCCAAAATTGAGAAAGCTTGAGAATCACTGAATAGTAATAATTATTTTCAGATGGTACTCGACAAATTTACAAAAACTGCAAACATGCAAGACCCGCCCAGCCATCCGCACATCCACTGGGATCCACTCCCACGATCACCCTGGAGGGAAATGAGACCCTCCTCCGTATCTTGCGGAGGCTTTGCAAGGTTAGAACGAGAGCTAACCTTTAAAATATGCTCTGTCTGAGCGACCGCAGCCATGACTTGCGGATCGACCTCCTTCCTATCTATTAAATCTCTAATGAGGTTCCAATAAGAGAAAATGGTCACAGGAATTTTTTCTGGCCCAAAAGTATTATAATAGTCCTGAAGACAATCCCCTACTCTACGCCATATTTTAATATCAATAGTTCCTTCCTGTGGGAACCAAGGGCAAGTATCTTTTACAAAATCAAAAAATTTAAACAAGTCATTACCTTTAACCTTTACTCCTCGTATCTTTAAAGCCTCTTTTAATTGTCCTACATATATTTGATGTTGACTTAATTCTTGTCCCATTTCGGACGCCTCACTTACCTTCGATTCAGACACGGCAGGTTCCCGCGGTGATCAGTTTAATTCCTTTTGTCTTTGTTAGCGGTCGACCGTCCTTTGGCGTCCTCTTCCTCACGGAGTCCCTCGTTTCCAGGTCGCTGTTCGGGCGCCACGTATCCCGGCCCGCAGGATAGTCGAAGCAGGCCCTGGAGGAGGGGGTGGGAATTTGGGGAACAAGAGATACGAGAAATGGAGACAAGACAGTGCTCTGATCAAGTCTCGTTTAATGGCGGTAATGCAGTGCCTTATATACACTTGGAGGGGAAGGGGTTGGGCCAAGGCGAAAATGATCTCATAGTGGAGGCGTGGCCAGATAGGTATTGGTTTCTCTGGTCGAACGTCATGTTGCACCTGCGCTGTCAGGTAGTAATTTTCACGGGCGCGGGAAAAATGGGTGAAGAAGCAGCAGGAAGAGCGCCATCTTTTATGAGGTATTAATACAGGGAAAAAGGTAAATCTAGGGAGGAGGTAGAAGGTGGAAATGAATAGAGCTCAGGCGTTTTTAATCGTCAGTTATTATTCGCTATGGCCGGGGCGTGCAGCTCCGGACATTTAGTAGAGACGGGTTTTCACCATGTTGGCCAGGCTGGTCTCAAAATCCTGGCCTCAGGTGATCCACGTGGCTCGGCTTCCCAAAGTGCTGGGATTTACAGGAGTGAGCCCCTGTGCCCGGCGAGATGGGGGTCTTTGATTTCATGGAGATTATGCAATCCCAGAGTACAGAGGCCAAGTGGTAACACTTAACCACCAAAGACAGCAGGGACACATCAGCCATCGTATCTCCTTTTATCCCAGATAATTCTTCTTGTTCTGATGTCTATTTTATCTGATAATTAATATAGCTACTCTAGCATTCTTTTGTTTTGTATTTGCATAGTATATTTTACATCCTTTTACTTTCAACCTATCTGTGTCTTAAAATGAACTTTGTGTGGGCAGAATATATTTGATCTTTCTTATTTATCCAATCTGATACTCTGTACCTTTTAATTAGTGTGTTTTGACCATTTACAATAAGTAAGATTATTGATATGTTTGGGTTGAAATCTATCATTTTGCTGTTTTCTGTTTTTTCATGTGTTCTTAGAGGTTTCTATCTTCTCTGCTTTCTCTTTTATTCATTGAGCATTTTTATGATCCCAATATACATCCATATTTGAATTATTATTTATGCCCCTTAAAAGTAATTTAGCGTTTGCCCTATTGTTTACAGTATCTATCTTTAATTAATTAGAGTTTACCTTGAGATAACATACTGCTTCATCTCTACTACAAGGACTTTATAACAGTATATGACCATTTATTTTTCTCATGTTTTATAATATGATTGTGATACATTTACTTTTATATATGCTATAAACATGCACTGTATTGCTACTATTTTTTTTAGACTGTCAGTTGTGTTTTAGAGAAATTAAAGTCAAGAAAAAAAGAAAAATATTTTCTTTTACTGTCATGTGTTTCATTTCCATTCTTTTAATGTTTTGATTCAAAGAGACTATGATTTTTTGAGACCAAAATGATCTTTGGACCCCAAACTTCTACATCAGGAATTGGAGCAGTTAGCAGTTTTGCCTTCAAGTGGGTCATATTGTCGAATGCTCTTTTCATGCATGGCCAAGAAAGATACAGGAAAAATAAGTACCTCCCAAGGAAAGAGTAAATATTTGTAGAAAAAATAATACTCTACAGCTACTGACAGGGAGCAGAACAACGGTCTAATCAACCAACTAACCCTACCCAAAGGATGCAGGCATTTCACAATGCCTGGATGAGAGCATTACAGAATTGTTATGAACCAGTGACTGCTATACCCATCTTATTCATCACCTTTGAAACATGAGTGTTACTGGGGATATTGTTTCCTCATTCAACCATTGTAGGTAGATGAACAGAAAACAGATGACTTGCCTTTTTGTTCATAGATAAGGAGAAGGCGTGCACAGGATATAGAAACTATAATGGAATTTGGGCTGAGACTGATACTGTGATGGAATGGGCTCTTTAGGGGTATCTTCCTTGGGGAATAGGTAAATATATTTTGTATGTGGAAGGGAGGGAAACAAATATTTAGACTAGGAGAAGAGATTATTCTAACGCTTAGCTTTTGTTGTATAACAAACCACAGCAAAACTTAGTGGCTTAAACAAAAGCTATGCATCATGATTCCTCTGCTCTGAGCCAGGTTGGATAGGACTAGATGGTCTAAGATAAATTCATTCACATACCTGGTGGTTGGCTTGACATGTCAGCTGGGTCAATCAGGATGACTTTGCAGAGATTCTCATCATCCAGCAGCCCAGTGTATGTTTACTCACATGACTGTTGATGCAAGGTTCCTGGGAACAGCAAGATAGCAAACCCCTTACTATGCCTCAGCTTGCATCATATTTGCTCACTGTTATTGACCAAAAGATGCTACATGGCTGTATTAGTCTGTTCTTATGCTGCTAATAAAGACATATGTGAGACTAGGAGTTTATGAAGGGAAGAGGTTTAATTGGCTCACAGTTCCACATGACTGGGGAGGCCTCATATTTGTGGTGGAGGGCAAATGAGGGACCAAGTCACATCTTACATGGCAGCAGGCAAGACAGCGAATACAGGGGAATTCCCCTTTATAAAACTATCAGGTCTCATGATACTTATTCACTATCAGGAGAACAGAATGGGAAAGACCTGCCCCCATGATTTAATTGCCTCCACCTGGACCTGCTCTTGACATGTGGAAATTATTATAATTCAAGGTGAGATCTGGGTGGGAACACAGCCAAACCATATCAACGGCTAAGCACATATTCAAGAGGGGAAGAAAATGTACTTCACCTATTGATGAAGATGGAACGTAGTCTATTGCAAACGGTCATGCATGCAATAAATAAAAAAAAGTTGTGGTCATTTTTTAGATTTTATTATTTTTCTCCATTATTAGCATCTCTCCTTATAACAAGATTTTGCATCACTGCACTTGTCATATGATTTGCAGAACCTCCCTGTAAGAGGAATGTACTTTCCCATACCACTGATAAAACTGGTTACGTGACTTTCTTTGATCAGTGTACTGTAAGCAGATATGATGTTTGCTGCACTTCAGTAGAAGCTTTAATGGCCATTACCTGATTCTACCTTTGACCATTTTTCTCCTCTACCACAAGAATAGCATGTTTCAAATTAGGGCTTTTTTAGCCTGGATTCTAGAATGAAGAAAACATACAAAGCAGAGTCATTGCTGATCTCTAGTATGAATGAAAAATAATCCTTTGTTTCATAAGCCCTTTGTGTTTTGGTGGTCATTCTTTACCACGCTGGAACCTAGAGAAAAATTAGGGTGATTGATTAGCTTCTGTTTTAATATATTTCACCGATTCCTTTTAGATGGATCTTTCCTTTTGATTTATATTTTAATTTTTTTTAACCTTCAAGTTCAGGGGTATGAGTACAGATTTGTTGCATAGGTAAACTTGTGTCATGGAGCTTTCTTGTACAGACTATTTCCTCACCCAGATATTAAGCCTAGTACCCATTAGTTATTTTTCCTGATCCTCTCCCTCCTCCCACTCTCCACCCTCTGAAATGCCCCAACATGTTTTTCTCCTCTATGTGTCCATGTGTTCTCATCAAATTGTTTCAAATGCTCATAGATATCTTAAAATGCCCTTGTTCCTATTTTCTTTTCCAGGTTTGCCCATGCCTCCTACCCAGTCACAAGTAAATTTATCAAAAGAGCTATACATGACTTGTGTTTCTTCATATTCTTTTCACTCCTAAGACCCTTACAGTCTACATTCTCCCCTGATAACTCCATCGATACAATCAATACCACTCTTGCCAAAGACATCAATGATCCCCACATGGCTGGTTCTGCTAACTCAACAGCATCCATCTGAGAAAGTTGACATTTTAAACTTTCTTTGAGCAATGGAACATTAGTAGATATGATTTAAGCGGATTTAAGAAACCACTGACCTGACCTGGTTTTATTTTCTCCTTTGTTGGGCTATTGTAGGTTTTCTGTGACTTCCATGGCCACTCCCAAAAGAAGAATGTGTTCCTTTATGGCTGTAGCATCAAGGAAACCTTGTGGCAAGCAGCATGCACTGTAGGCACATCTACTATCCTAGAGGATGTCAACTACAGGGTAAGCCGCTGTAGGGAATGACACCAGATATGCTGTGTCCATATTCTTTATTCTTACCTTTAAGATCATGCCCCACTCATTTGTTAAGTTTTTTTTTTTTTTTTTTGGTAAATAAGCATTTTGATTATTGTAATACAAGCAGGCTGGAGGCATGTGTAACCTCTCCTAATTTTTGTTGAATTATGACTTACTTCCTCATTGCTTTGCCTCTGTTTTCTATATGGTTTCATATTGTATAAAAGGCATGAGAACTACAGACAAAAGAACTCATCTTAATGCCTGACTTGGCAATTATTCAATTATTAACTGTGTGATTATAAGGTCATTAACATTACCTCACTGAACCACCCTTCTCCCATCTGTAAAATGAGGATAGTAAAAATACTGCCTCTCTTTCATAGCTTATGGAAGGAACAGAATGATACTGAATACAAAAGGACTTCAAATAAATAGGAAGGGATGAACAAACATAAGCCATGAAACCATCCATATTTCTCTGCCTGAGCATTCTGTAAAAAACAGAGCAGTAATCCGCTGACCATAATTCTATTTTACCTTAGTTTTAGTGATTAGAGCTCAACTGTTCCTCCATGAAACCACATAGGAAATTAGGGAGGGGTAAAGAAAAGAGTACATCTTTCCATCAGGATATAGGCAACAAGCTATTGCATAGTGAGAATCAAGAAGAAACAAAGAAGCAAAATTGCCCAAACACTAAATGAAAACTGGTCTTTGTTTACAATTTATGTAGAAAAAGTAGAAAATTATGATGGTATCTGCCTCTTCTAAGTCTGTTATTCTGGGTATGCAATTTACTATCTGCAAAATAGCTTCATTCCCAGGGTTAATGATAGTATTAAGAGGTAAAAATCTACCAAATCACCATTTCACCTGGAAATACATCCCCTCTTCTCTAGCCTTCTTCACCCAGTCCATCAAAAATAGACTGCCGCTGATCAATACAACCACCCCAAGGCTTTTATAGCAGAATCAACAGTTATCCTCAATAATCTGTTTGCTGTAAGGCTCAACCAGAGTAATGATGATAAACCATAACAAGCTTAATAACTTAATCTTATTTAGGAAACTAGTTTAGTAAATTAAAGCATTCATCTGGGCAGTTCCTGTGGACCCAACCCATATAAAATGATCTCTTATGTGTGATACATCTTGAATCAAAAAAATCTACCATGGTCCAATCTTAAATGTAGAGTCAGTGTGTTTTTTACTTCTCTTTTTCCAAGAAAAGGTAATAATATTAATAGATAATTCCCTATATACACAGGAAAAGATATAAGACACAGAACCTTAAAAAAGTCTCCTGTATGAAGCTGACATGAAATAGGGCAGAAGTCAGACATTGTAGGGAATGATAGCATGGGTTCTTATTAACTGTATTTTAATTTTTGTGTATGATTCATGTTGTTTAATTAATAAATTCAAAAAATATTTTGAGGCCCAGATTAGCGTAAGCTAAGGTAAAAGGCGTAACATTACAGAGATAGGTATGCCAGTTTCTGCCTCTGAGAATAAGCACAGTGGTATTTAATAGCAATGCTGTTGAAGAGATTAATCCATCTATACATTAATACTCACCTATAAGGTCCTTTAACTGTGAATGGGTCAGTTGCCTGAGCCTCACTTTTCTCCCTTGTGAAATGAGGAAGTTATATTTTCTACATAGTTTATTACATCGAGTTTGTTGGTGCCTTGGGCTTCCTTAAAGGCAATTCATGGGCTACTATGACATATGTGGAAGTAGTGAAGTGAATATGGTTTGGTCACATCCCTTGCTTTCAACCCAAATAGCTTTGCTTTTTGGGGTCCCACATATTATATAACTCCCTCTATCACTGACACTCTAAATCTAGGACATAATGATCTGTAAATAATTATCTTAACACTGGTGATCTGCCTAAAAAGACTTGTGTATACAAATGGATCTTCTCAGAATTGAAAGGACCCACTCATTTTACAGATGGAAAAATTGAGACTCAGGGAAGAGTGTCCCTGTAAGACAGGTTAATGTTATCATCATGATATCTGCCAGTGGTCAGCAGCCTGCTGATGCTGAGAGGCTGATTCCTTCATTACCATCGAAAGTGGAACAATTCTAAACATGTTAAACTTATCTAAGAGGTTTTTTTTGGTCATTCACCCTTAGTATTGAAGAGACAATTATGCGCCCTATTATATTTCAAATCCACTCTGCAACATTTATTCAGTTTTATTAATCAACTTTAATGGTACTACTTCTAGTTATGTTGGTATAAAGAGGTCAGTGAATCCTCTCTGCAAAACGCAAATATAAAACAGAAGAAAATTTTGAAAAGCAGCCCTTTTAAGACTCTGGAAATTGACCAAATACAGATGATAAATTGAGAAGCATTTATTCTTGAAAATTGCTGGAACTTCATGTAAGAACAGCAGGGGTCTGTAACCTTTTTGACTGGGGCTGCTCGTGACTCCACTCTATTTGGTCATCAAGCAATGCAGTTTTACCAACAAAAGGACAGCCACACACACACACACACACACACACACACAGAGCCAGAAATTTACAAGGGAGACCTTAGAAATGAGAGAGTCATAGAAAAGCTAAGATAAGCTCTCTGTAAATACATGGTGTATTAAGCCATTCTTGCATTGCTGAGGCTGGATAAATTATAAAGAAAAGAGGTTTAATTAGCTCATGTTCTGCAGGCTGTTCGGGAAGCATAATGCTGGTATCTGCTTCTGGGGAGGCTTCAGGAAGCTTCCAATCATGGTAGAAGGTGAAGGGGGAGCAGGCACTTCATATGGTGAAAAAAGAGTCAGAAAAAGAGTCAGGGGGAGGGGCCACACACTTTTGAACTACTAGATCTCATGAGAATTCACTGATTATTGTGACAACAGCACCAAGAAGATGATGCAAAACCACTCATGGGAAATCCACTTCTGTAATCTAGTCACCTCCTACCAGGCCCCACCTCTGACACTAGGAGTTACATTTCAACATGAGATTTTGGTGGGGACAAATATCTAAACTGTATCACATGGATTATGGAAAAATATGTGTCTCTTCAGAGGAGACCCAAGAGAGCCCAGTGAGAAATGAAGCCCAAAGAGACTTAAGAACTGCCACAATTTTGAATGTCTTCCCAAATCACCTACAAATCAATCAAGAGAGAGTGGAAGTCTTATGTACTCAAGATATTTGAGTACTACATTTGCCCAAATTATTGTATAATCACTATGCTAAGCAGCCACAGATGTCAAGCTAAATAATTTAAATAAGAATGTAGAAACTGTATAGAGACATCAGTGGCACACATTGCAGAAGAAAAAAGAAATAAATATTCTGCAGATTAATCCAGGAAAGTAGTTAAAAATTAAAAAACATTTAAAAAATAGAATCCAGAGATGCTAAAAAAAAAAGGTATAATCTATGATGTCCAGTTTTCAAGCAAAAATTACAATTTTGTAAAGAATCAAGAACGTGAAATCCATCCTTAGGAAACAAAGCAGTCAGTAGAAACAGAGTGGGCCAACATGGTGGATTTATAATTATTTCCAAGCAACTGTTAAAATATGTTCAAATAAGTAAAGAAAATGACGTTCAAAAGTTAATGGCAAAATATGATGACCATTACTCAATATATAAGGAACTTTGATAGAGAATTAAAAACAGAAGGAAGGAGGGAAGGAAGGAAGGAAGGAAGGAAGGAAGGAAGGAAGGAAGGAAGGAGGGAGGGAGGGAGGGAGGGAGGGAGGGAGAGAGGGAGGGAGGGAAGGAAAGAAGGAAGGAAGGAGATAGTGTTGAAAAGTATCATAATCAACATAAAAAATTCACTAGATGGGATTGTCAGCAGATTTGAGATGGCAAGATAGTAAAGAATGAATCAGTAAATTTGATGATTAATCCCAAATTATTCAATTCAAAGAACAGACAAACAAAATTAAAGAAAAGTAAAGAGCTGTAGAGACCTATAGGATAGCATAAAGCATATCAACCAACATGTAATGGGAGGCCCAAAAGGAGGGGAAAATAAATGTGTACAAAAAAATTTGAAGATATAATGAGAGGAGAAGATAATATAGGAGGAACAAAACATATATGAGACATATAGAGACAAACAACAAAATGGCAAATGTAAATCCAAAAATATCAATGATGACATTAAATATGAATGAACAAACCCTTCATTCCAAAGGCAGAGGTTGTAAGACCAGATTTTAAAAATAGGATCAAGTGTATATTGTGTATAAATGACATGCTTTTGATTCAATAATGCAAACAGGTTGAAAGTTAAAAGATGCAAAAAGATACACCATGCAAATGGTAACCATAATAAAGATGATTATATTGACATAAGACAAAATATACATTAAAAGAAGAAATATTACTAGGGCTAAGGGTGCAATTCATAATACTGAAAGAAATAGTTAATCAGCAAGGTATAACAATTATAAATGTATGTGAATATATATACTCTGAAATACAAGAAGAAAAAATTGAAAGAAGGCATTTAAAATTTAATAATAATAGTTGAATATTTTAGTAATCTTCTCTCAGTAAGTGATAGAATAATCAAACAGAAAATTAGTGTAGAGAATACCTGATCTAACTTACATATAACAGTTCTTTTCAAAACAAAAGAATATATATTCTTTTTGAGTGCCCATCAAAATTTCTCCAGCATAGACCCTATAATAGGCTATAAAATAAATCTCAATATATTTTAAGGGATGGAAAACATGCACAGAATATTCACCTACACAACAGAATTAAATTATAAATTAACTTTCATAAGAAATCTGGGATATCTGTGAATATTTGGAAATTAAACAATGTGTATCAAATTAACTTATGGATTGAAGGGGAAATCCAATGGGTAATTAGAAAATATCTTTAAGTGAATAAAAATAAAAACTCAATATATCAAAATTTATAGTACGCAGCAAAAATAGTACATAGAGGGAACTTTGTAATTTAGAATATTTAGAAATGCAGAAAGATCTAAAATCAGTAATCTAAGCATCCACATTCAGAAACAAGAAAAAGAAGTGCAAATAAATCCCTAAGTATAGGAAAGAACAAAATAAAAGCCAAAGTAAAATCAATGAAATAAAAATCAAATGAACAATAGAGCATCCATAAATAACATGCTTTTTATTCAATAATTCATAGTTTGATTTCTTAAAATGATTCAACAAAATGATCATCATTTAGCTAGACAGACAAAGAAAAGAAAGAAGATACAAGTTACCAAAATTGGGATTGAAGGAAGGGACATCACTACAAATCTTACAAAGTAAAAAAGAGTATCATTAACAACTAAATGCCAACAAGTGAATACATTCTCAGGAGAACACAGACTACAAAAACTGATTCAAGGAGACATGGACAATCTGATGAGGTTTATTTTAAGTGGAAAAAAGTAGAATTAGTAATGAAAACTCTTCCCACAAATGGAAGTTTGGGCCCAAATGGCTTTGTTGATACATTCTATCAACCTCTTAAGAACAAAATAGTGCTAATCATAAAAACATCCTTTCATAAAATAGAGGAGACACACTTGCCAACTCATTTGTGAGGCCTGTGTTACTCTGATACCAAAGCCAAAATGGGGACATCACAAGAAAAGACAGCTCCAGCCTAATACTTGTTATAAACAGACAATAAATTATTACTCAGTGCTGAAAAGGAATGAGCTATCAAGCCATGAAGAGACATGGAAAAACCTTAAATGGATATTACTAAGTTAAAGAAAACAACCTGAAAAGGCTACATACTGTGTTTCCAGCTGTATGACATTCTGGAGAAAGCAAAACTATGGAGACTAAAAAGATCGGGGTTGCCAGGAATTTGGAAGGAAGGAGGGATAAATAGGTAGAGCAGAGGGGACTCTTAGGGCAGTAAAACTACTTTAGATAATACTGTACTATTGAGGACACATCATTATACATTTTTTCAAACCCGTAAGATGTACAGAACCAAAAGTGAAGAGAATCCTCATGTAAACTATAGACTTTGAGTGATGATGTTTCAATGTAGGTTCAGCAGTTACAATAAACCTACTACTCTGGTGAGGGATGTCAATGATTGGGAGTCCATGCATGGACAGGAGTCGGGGGCATATGGAAAATCTCTGCATCTTCCTTCTCAGTTTCGCTGTGGACCTAAAGCTGCTTTAAATAAAGCCTTTATAAAAGAAAGAGAGAGAGAGAGAGAGAGAGAAACACAACCTACGGAAGAAAAAAATAGTTTCACTTAAGTAAAAAAGGTGAAGTCACTTAAACAATGTAAGAGTAAACTTTTGCAACATAGTACGCTAATGATAAATTAAAACTATTTGCAAGTATTATTGATCACTTTACTTGTAGGATATAGAAACAATATATTTACGTCTATTTGACCAGACCCCCAGGGCTCTGGACTAGCAGATTCTATTTATTTTAGCAAATAATTATGTAGTACCCTCTATGAGCAACATACTGCTCGATGTGTAGGGATTTTCCTCTGAGTAAGACACAGACCTGCCCTCATGGAACTTCTAGGCTTCTGGGGAGATAGAAAATAAACAACTAATATATACACAATAATTCAGTTGTAATTGTAATGAGCATTTTGAAGGAACAAATAGATTGAGTGATTATAGGAAGGGAGGGACAATGGTAGATAGGATGAAATCAATTAGGAGACAATTGTAGACACTCAAGTGAAGACAACATTAGCATTCTATCTCCCTTTTTTTAGATGATCTGTAAGTCTGGAGGCTATGTAGGGATTTAGAGATCATAGTAAATTATATTAATAATTATGCTAATATATTTATATAACATAATTTATAAGATAATTAATAATTATAGTTAACAGTTACATTTAACATGAGGACAGTAAGTACCAGAGATAGTAAGAGATTTGCTCAATGTTCTAGAAATTAACAAAACTACATCTCTTTAAAAAGAATTCTTTCATTTATATTCTCATTAACTTGTTATGCTTCTCTACTTTCTCCCTGTAATTTGTCTAAAAGCCTAAGGTTTCACTATTGTTTAATGTATGTAATTTTTTATATTATGTGTTAGTTTATGCATATTCCGCCAACACTAAAATGAGAGAATCCTTCTTGTTAATGTCATAAAAGTTCTGGGACTAAGTGCAGTATTTCTGCTGACTCAGGACTGTGTATACTATCAACTCTGAGTCATTGTCCTCTGGGGAGGAGGTCCAGTGGCTGGAAGATCCCTTTCTGTCAATCGAGGTGTCAAGTGTCTAGAGATGCCTTCTAAATGGAGGTTAAGTAGTCATAAATAAAGTATTTTTACCCCAAGAAAAGGTGGAATATATGAACCCAGAGAGGATGGATTTTCAAGAGTTTTGTAATTGATCAAGCCTCAGATTTTTGGCTTAGAAGATGAGACGAAAAGTTCATTTTGGCAATTATACACTCTTAGGAAAGAAGTGAACTATGTGTGCTTCTTCTCTAGAATCATCACTGGCCCCTTTGGCCTTGTGAAATAAGTGAACAGTCCCAAGTATGACCCTGCTAAGTAACAGTGAGGCTGGATGTAGTCTGTAAATTTCAAGTCCCTGTGAAATCTGAGGCTTTCCATAGTCTCAACTCTTTCATGTATGAGGCCAAGTGTATGTGTGCAAGCCTTGGTCCATAGCAATGCAGAAAAGTGGAACTGAAAGATTATGGAGTTGGCCAGTTGGTATTTGGATTCCTTTCCAGCAACTTTATAGTTTTCTGGACTTCAGCTATTTATTTCTAACTTTTTTTTTTTTTGTGATGCAGTCTCACTCTGTCTCCCAGGCTGGAGTGCAGTGGTGCGATCTCGGCACACTGCAACCTCCGTCATCTGGGTTCAAGCGATTCTCCTACCTCAGCCTCCTGAGTTGCTGGGATTACAGGTGCCTGCCACCACACCCAGCTAATTTTTGTATTTTTAATAGAGACAGGGTTTCACCATGTTGGCCAGGTTGATTTTGAACTCCTGCCCTCAGGTGATCCACCTGCCTCAGCCTCCCAAAGTGCTGAGATTACAGGCATAAGTCACCGCTCCTGGCCTATTTCTAACTTTTCTTAGCCTGTTTCCTTATCTGCAAAATGATTTTTTAAAAGTGATAGTCATTTCTTAGGGTTAATAAATGATTTAAAGTAACAAGTGTTTTATAGATAGACAATGTTGAGAAGCTATTTTTATGATGACTATCCCTAGTCACCCACAACTAATCATAGTTTGATTTTTTTTAAATTGTAGACTCTTCCCAAAATCCTTGATAAACTAGCACCAGCATTCACAATGAGCAGCTGCAGCTTCCTTGTGGAGAAATCTCGAGCCTCCACGGCCCGGGTGGTGGTGTGGAGAGAGATGGGGGTGTCCAGAAGCTACACCATGGAAAGCAGCTACTGTGGTTGCAACCAGGGCCCCTATCAGGTATGTGAGACTGCAGGACACCCATGCTTTCTGTCCAGCAGCAATACATAGAAATTACAGACAGCTTGTTCCTGCTTTCTCGCCTAAAAGGGAGAGAAGGCTCCAAATAGAGTCTGGTCCTGCTCCCTTGCCTTGAAAAACTGGTTCAACAATTGCTTTCACCTGCAGGATCATCTATGTTGATCCTGGAAGCAATGAGTGCATGCTTTCCAATTTAGTTCTTCAATCAGCTGCCCTCACCAGAAAGCAGCAAGGAGCCTTTGACGTGCATCCCCAACTTTTACAGAACCTCTGCCTGCCTGACTCTGTTTTATGCACAAAATTCTTGCCTTCTGCAGCAAGTGGACTAGTTCTATATACATCATAAAGAGCATAGGTCAGTCTGTAGATATTGTTGGTACATATATCTATTGTGTTTCCATCTTCTGTGCTGATCTAAATCTGTAGCTCTCTTTGTTATCCTGCTGTCTCCAGAGCACACAAAAGTGTGTGCACGGCGTGGGTCTCCCAGAATGAGTGGGTTTCAGACTCATATGCTAGCGTTGAGAGAAAGTGCTCTTGTATAAATCACATTCTTTCTACAGCTATATTAACTGCATGAGCAGCTGGATAGCTGCTACAGCAGGCTGTTCTGGCTGCTTTTCCCACTCCCCCATAGAGAAGCATAAATAAAGGATATTTTGACAGTGCCAGGGTAATAGACTCTTGTAAATTTCTTAGGCAAGCTGACAGACTGCTCCTCAGTGACTTCCATTCAACCCCAAGAATACCTGGACCTCACCAGCATTGAGCTCATTGTGTTAGCTTTGATAGTCTCCTGGAACAGCTAGGAAGCACTTGGCACCTAGGCAATCCCGAGCTTGTAGAAATCTGTTAGTTACCGAGGAGAGTACAGGGTGTGACAGGCGATGCACATTATCTAACTTCTCACATGGTCGAAGATTTTTTTTAACTCAGGGCTATCAAACCACCCATGTTGACTATTAATTCTGTCAAATAGCCACTTAGTCTAAAGACTTGCTTCAAATAATTGTTTTGTTACTGAATTAATAAATTCTTAGACTGAATTAATCCTATTCACCCACATTAATGTAAATGAAGAATAAGAAGAGCTGAAATCATTGGATGAGCATGAGATTGGTCATCAAGAGATCTCACTCTTTCACTTACCAGCAGTGTTGAAAGCTACTTACTTCTAGGAAACTATTTTTTTTTCATATATCAAATGCAGATTTTAATAAGGACTCCTTTTATCCTACCATACAAGATTTTGTAAGGACTAAAAGAAAACATATATGTGAATGTACTTGGAGGTTATATAATCAGGAATCTGTTCACTCCCTTGTTCTTCAAAGCATATAAGATTGGAAAAAAAGAAAACTTGAAATATTGTGACTTTCAGGCCTTATGGACATAGGTTTTGTCTCTCTCTGTGTATGTGTCTTGATGGGAAGGGGCCTGTCATTTGTTTTAAGGACAACTCCATGTAACTCTTCAGAGATTTATTGGCTTCGTGACTTTCATTGAGTTTGTTTCTCCAAGCACCAGTTCAAACTAACAGCTTCTAGTCACATAAGTATCAACGATGGCATTGGAAACTCAGAGCTGGAAACTCAGAGTCCTCTGGAGCTGTTTGAAAACTAAATGACTCATCGGTCCAGGCCCTCACCAACTCTCTACCATGCAGTGTACATAGAGGCTGTTGGAGAGGACAAAGAATGTAAGGGCTCGCCCAATGGATGGCCTTCAGGTATTGGCACAGCATTTATCCCGTGAAATTTTCCAAATGGCTTTTGCATGGAAGGAAGAATGGAGGGAGAACTGGCTAGAGAAAGCCCTAATAGTGCCAGACCTGGTTTTGGTTTAACAATCCCATTCTCTATATGAAACACCTCTCCGAATGTATTAGTTTTCTCCTTCTCTTTGTTTTCCTGTCCTTACAAACATTGTTGAGTAACTGAGCAGAATCACAGGCAGTGAGCAAGGGCATGGTGAGTAATGTTACATATGGGAGGGCCCACCCCATGGGAAGGAAGCCAGTCCGGAGTTGGGTGTTTTGGTGATTTTTGTGTGAGGTACACAATGCAGTCTATGAGCTATAAAGCAGCATAGAAATTTCCATCCTGAACATATTGCAAATGCTTTTTGTACATTGGGAAGCTGAGTCCCAGTTGAGTCTTGAGGTTATTATTCTAAGGTCATCTTTCCATTTTTTGTTTAGTGTTACCATTTATCCAAAAGATGGAGGATACTTAAATACACCCGTGAGGGGCATTCTTTCCTTCCTTCATACGAATATAAATATTTTTGCAGTTTCTCTGGTTAATGCAGCTTTAAAGTAGCTCCAATCATTTCTCCCCCAGCACACTAAGTACTTGATTTGTTAGTATTGAGATGAAATATAATTTCTTACAGTGACATTTATATTGGAACTACATTAAAGAACATAAGCTATTACCTTAAAATAATGATTATTAATATGATATTTTCTCTTCTATTTTCCAGTCTATAGTTGGCTAATTAGAAAAAAAATTATCCTGCTTTTGTTTCTTTGGGATACAGTCTCTGTTGCTAAGTCATACACTTAGATCTATAACTTGTATTTAATGTGGAAATCCCACCCACTGAGAGATTTACTTTACCTATTAGGGACGGGCCCAAAGCTATTGAGGCTGTTGAAGAAAAAGCCAAAATGGAATGATGCATCCTTTGGGGGTTCGTTTTTTTTAGAGGCATCCAGTCTATGTGGACAGCTGTGGGCTTTACACTGAGTGTTTGTGACCTGAGGTCACATATGTGGTGTGTTTGCATACACAAAGGCATGTGGCTGGGCCCCAGGGGTTGCTGGTAGCTTAGGAGGAGGATGTGAGTCCCTCTACCCAAGCAGGCTGTCGACTTACTCCTTGCAACATTGCTAACTTGGACAGCAAAGTGGATCTTAGAGAAGGACAGAAGATGGTAACTCAGCTGAGGTTTGAAGAGTGACTCAACCTGTGTTTAAATTCTCTACCTGCAAGTTACATCCTTGTATTGTGGGACCTTCCTGCAGTGCATCCACTCTACCACCCACAAGGGCTCCTTTAATAACACAAATCTATTCAAGTCACAGTAATGCCCATAATCCTTCTAAGTATCTTTGTGTCTCGATAAAATTCAACTCCTCATCGTCATGAGTAAGGCCTTTTACAATCTCTTCTTTCATTTTTTTATACTCAATGCTTAGTATAGTATAAAGTAGGTATTAAAAATGATGGCTGACAAGTGAGTAAATAAGTGAACAAGTAAATGAATGGCAATTTCCAAGCCCTTAAATGATTATCCTCACTGTCCTTGGGTAAGTAGAAAAAGAGACAAAATTATTGTTGTCCACATGTGATCAGATGCCATTCTAAAATGGAGATTTTAAGAGACGTTGCAATGGGCAGAGATGGAAAATGTGTGGGTGAAAGAAGGAAAGACACAAGAATGCAGGGTTGAGACCTCTCAGACCTGCCACTAGATATGATTTGAGAGCACCCAATGGATTATATCCCAGAGTAAGGCAATTCTAGTTCAGGTGTGGAATCTCTTATGGCCACATTCTAATAACAGATGATAATTAGGCAGAAAGAATTCCATCCATACACATAGTAGATGCTGTGGTCCACCCTTGAGATCCCTCCTTAGGACCCAGGCACTCATTTCCCCTGGCTGTTCACAGCTGTGTCTATAACCAGGAATTGCTTGTAACTAAAGGACCTCATCTTGCCCAAAAGGTATGGCTCCTCCCTACCTGCAGCCTACATCCAATAGCTGATCTGTGGGGAGACAAAAACCTTATCTCTTTGCCTCAGTTGGGGTGACTCCAAAGGGCCATTCCAGCTCTAGATCTCCCTATAGGATTAGCTGGCACCTCTGTTGCAATTCCCTTGTAGTTCAACCTCCCCTTCTGCCCAACCTTGTTTCCCTAGTAACTCACAGGTATTGTTACAGTAAGCACTCCCCAAAAGTCCTTCTATATGCAAATCTCAGCATCTCCGAGGCTGTTTCCTGCTGTAAACAACTTAAAACAGTATTTCAAAAAGGCTTAGATTAGAAAACACGCATGCTGGAAATAGGCACTTAAATTATTGGAGATGGTTTAGTGCGGATTAATTTCATATAGGAAATTCAATCATTGGAACTCCATGTTCAAGGCTCCAGTGGCCCTTCATTCACTCCACTTGCCTTAGCTGTTTAGGGAACAAAGCGCTCTACTACAGAACTAGAGATTGCAGATCAGAGCAGGGTTTCTTGCAGTAGCCCAGACTGTAGGCTGGATATATTTATTTTCTGTAGCTGCCATAACAGATTACCACAACCTGGATGGCTTAAAACAACATAAATCTGTTTGCTCACAGATCTGGAAGATAAAAGCCTGAAATCAAGGTGTTGACAGTGCTATGTTCTCTGTAAAGGCAACTGTTTCATTCATTTCTTTGAGTTTCTTGTATTGCCAGAAATCCTTGGTGTTTTTTGGTTTGTCAATACATCACTACAATTTCTTCCTTTATCATCACATGGCCTTCTCTACTTGTGAGCCTCTATCTCTGTGTCTCCCCTCTTCTTCTTATAAGGACACCAGACATATTGGAATAAGAGCCCACCTTACTCCAGGATGACCTCATCTTAACTTAGTTAATTATATTTGTAGTGACCCTATTTCCAAATAAGCTCATATTCTGACATTCTGATAAGGAGATAAATTTGGGCGTTGGGCAAGATACCATTCAACCTAATAAACTGGGTCACACAAGAAAATATAAAATTCTTTCCAAGAATTAGGGAAGGTTTTTATTTCTGTCTCCATATTGCCATGCGGTGAAGCCCTAAATGTGTTATAACAGTTCTCATATTCTCTCTACCTCATGTTGAGGAAAATGAAAAGTTTCAGACTTTCTTGGAACATCTTAGAAGATAAATTTGAGACTCATGGCATGTATGAGTGCTGATTAAGGCTGCTCCAGTGTTATAATACACAA